CTCTTTCAGACAAGCAAGAAACTCAGGGGTCAGATCCCAAAGTTTTGAGGATAATAATCACTCAATTGGGTTTAAACTGGCCGTTTAGAAGAGAGATGTTCTCCAAAAGGTCCAGCAAAAAACTTGTTTACATTCCAACAGGTAGAGGAACTTCTTAAGGTTTACTTTATAAAAAAGCAAGTTGTATTTCAATTTTTGTTGAGGCTGACATTCTATTTTTCAGCTGTTATTTTCCTTAAGAACGTTTAAACATAAGATTTTCTCCAACAGCATGGCTACAAATGTATTGTATTATGGAAAGACATCTTCACAGTAAAAGGAATAGAAAGTAGAAAGGTTGTCTAACTTTGACTATTATCTGAAGGAACCATGTCTTTAATTTTCCATTGCACATCCACACTTACTAAGGAGACTGCTGAAGCATCTACAGGTATTATGTAGGACATAACTGGGTGTGGACTGGAAATGAAAATGCACATCACATTGCGTTGCTGAGTAGAATTTCCAGTGATTTCTACTGAATGTTCCAGTGTGTTCCCGTTCCACATTCTAAAACTGGTTTCCAGAAGACAAATTAATGCTGTGATCTAAACAAACACGGTAACTGTACATCAGATGAAAAAAAAAAAAAAATTGAGCAACTGTACAATAGAGAACAAGGATTAATGGGTTCTAAAAGGTCTAAATATGTTCTTCCAGCTTCTGTGAATGGGACATAACAGACGTATCTCTAGATTCAGAACCTGCAGATACAACTGTAAGAACTGCTGAGCTGGACACGTGATGATGCCATTTAGAATGAATGAAGGAGTCCAAAACACAGGTCCTCTACATCAGGGGACCTGAAGCTCCAGAAGCAACTGTTTAAGAAAATTTGCGGTTATCATTCTTTTTTCTGTCTCCGAGAGAGAGGTGAAAACTGTAGCTTAGAGCATACTCTCCTATCAGTTCCAGGTATCTCTGCTGCACTGAAGATGTGTCTTGTGCCATTTCTGCTGGAACTGTAGCTTCTTCTGTTGGACTAATTGCAATCTCGTGTAGCTCAAAAAAGCCATTGGAACTTACATGAGATTTGACAGATGACACTGTGTGTTATTAAGGTAAGGATAAAATACGGAATAACTTCTACTCTGGCAAAGAGTTTGTTGCCTTGGTCTTAGAGGTTCTCATCACCCAACTTTTTTGAGACAAAATATCACAGACCATCAAAAGGAGCACAAAAGCTTCAAACCATAGAGAAACCATGAAGAAAGACTATGTAGTTGTTTTGCTATTTTGGCCTGAGCCTTCAAAGTAAGTGAATTGATCAGTTTAAATGCTGAGTCTTAAGTGAAATTAAATGGCTCAAATATAAACTTTTGCAGTGAAGACATCAAGGTCTGTGGTAGTCATGTAGAACAACATTCATCTCTCCAAGGTTTGGACATATATACTGTAGATATCTATATCAAAATTATTAATATAATGTCTCTAAAGCCAATGCAGAGAAAAATGCACTTTTAAGGCATAGTTCTTGCCTGCTATAGATGCCTCTTTAAGAGGTGATTCCTGTTGTAAACCCCATGGGTATGTACTGAATACCTCTATTGATGTATATATTGACTAGCTTAAAGTTATGAGATAACTGCAATGATTACATCTATTTTTAGTTAAATTAGTTCCACACCTACATTCCCTTTATTATCAATGAAGAGTAACATGCACTTACACACAAGGACAAATCATCTGTCCCTAAGGAAGGCCTTATCACCTCCTAAGCCTCTCCGTTGACTACAAAGGGAATCTGGACTGAGTTTGTCACATAAATTGCTGCACTGTTGGCTTGTAAAATTTGGATTAGAGGAGTCCCACCTCTTTGGCCATAACTCAGTGATAAATATGTACAAAAAATAATCATGACAATATTTCAAATAGAAGGATAAAGAGCAAACCATGAAGATACAGGATGTCATTAGTGATGAAATGTTTAATACAGCTCATGTTTAATAAACCAAAGTATCTGTTTTATTAAAAGGATGTTAAACATAGTTAACATGTGACTTTCAGGAACATCAGTAATCTCCCTGACAGATACATGTCTTTTCCAAAAGCTTAATTATGTCTGTAGGATCACTTTCAAAGACCTGAGGTAACATCTAAACACAGTAATTGATTACAGCTTTCTGATTTTCCTATGCATAAATCACATCTTTAGACTAAGGACTTGAAAAGCAGTGGAAACTTACTGAGACTTCCATATTTTAACCCAAAAAAATAAGGTTTATTTATGGTTATTGGATGTGTATAGATTTTTTCCAGGCTCCCATTTAGGCTGAACTCTTCTTGCCATTGACTAGGTAGAGAATTTCACCTTAGAGAGTTGTCAGTCTGACGTCTTTCTGAAACACTGCACTTACTTAATGTGAAATTTGTTTCTCTGCAAAGGCCCAACATGAAGTCTATGCTGCATCAGGTTGTAGATTAAGTAGTAAACTTAATATTTCAAACTGTCTCCTCCTAAATGTAGGTCCTAGTTTTACCTAACTGTTCTTAGACTTCAAGCTGCTCTCAGTGTAGAACCTGAACCTGCTGACTGTTCTTTATTTCTTCTATCTGTTCTTGCACAATGTCAGTCTGTTGACTGAATCTTTTGAGCATCTTCATTGATCTATTTCTTAAATACCTTGAGGAGATGTAAAATCACAGAGAAAATTTATTTTTGTTTTTTAATT